GGTCACCCATTTTGTATAATATTTCATAAGTTCATTATTTTTCAATGCAGCATAGTACTCCATTGTGTGAATATACCACAGCTTCTCTAGCCATTTGATTGTTGATGGGTACTTGGGTTATTTCCAGCTCTTTGCTATTGTGAACAATGAAGCAATAAACATGGGTGATCATGTATCTGTTTGGGTGGCAGTCTAGTTTTTTTAGAGTATATTTCCAGTAGTGGAATAGCTGGGTCAAATGTAATTTCTATTTCCAAATTTTTGAGAAAGTGCCATACTGCCATCCATAGTGGTTGCATCATTTTACACTGCCACCAACAGTGAATAAGGGTTCCAGTTTCTCTACAACCTCACCAGCACTTGTTGTTTGCTGCTCTGTTGAATTTTGCTATTATTACTGAGGCGATATGATATCTCATAGTTGTTTTGATTTGCATCTCTCTTAGAACTAGGGATTTTGAATACTTTTTCATGTGTTTGTTTGCCATCTGAATGTCTTCTTTGGTGAAGTGTCTGTTCATATCTTGTGTTCATTTTGCAGTTGGGTTGTTTACCTTTATCTTCTTGTGGTGCTCGAGTATTCTATAAATTCTAGATATAAGTCCCTTATCTGACATGTCATTACCAAATATTTTTTTCCCAGTCTGTGGCTTCTCTTTTTATCCTGTTGGAGAAGGTTTTGGATGTGCATAGGGATTTTATTCTTAGAAGGCCCCATTCATCTATTTTATCCTCTCCTGGTTGCAGGTTTTTCAGGATGCTTGGAAGACTGTTTATATTGTGGATAAGGACTTCCAGAGTTCTTCCAAGCTTTTTTCTGATAAAGTTTATAGTCCTTGGTTTTAGTGCTAGTCATTGATCCACTTTGAATTGGTTTTTGTGTATGGTGTGAGGTTTGCATCTTGCTTGAGTTTTCTGCAGAAAATTTTCCAATTTTGCCAACACCATTTGTTTAAAACGCTGTAATTTCCCCATTTTATGGATTTCATTTCCTTATCAAAAATCAGTTGTCCATAGGTAGATGGGCTGATTTCTGGGTTCTCAGTTCTATTCCATTGATCTTTGTGTCTGACATTGTACCAGTACCACGCTGTCTTGACCACCACGACAGTGCAGTAGGATTTGAAATCAGGGAGTGAGATGCCTCCTACCTTGTCTCTCTTTTTAAGGAGTGCTTTGCTTATTCGGGGCCTCTTTATATTCCAAATGAAATTGGAGATTACCTTTCCCATCTCGTTGAAAAATGGAATTGGTATTTGTACTGGGATTGCATTGAACATGTAAATTGCCTTTGGTAGTATTTTCATTTTCACAATATTGAGTCTTCCTATCCAAGAGCAAGGTATATTCTTCCATTTCTCCAGGTCTCTTTTTGTTTCTTGTAGTAATGTTTTGTAATTTTCTTTGAATAGATCCTGTGTGTTTCTAGTTAAATTTTCTCCCAAGTATTTAATGTTGTGATTAGCTATTGTGATGGGTACTGTTTTT